CTCTAGGCTAAAGCTTTAAAGCTGTTTTCTGAAAACCCTCTGAGGTCAAGGAGTGATACTGGCCTGAGGCTTCCTCTTTCTGGGTCATCCGTAATGTGTTGTTCTAGTCCTTGGCACCCTTGGCTGCTCTTACTCCTGAGGCTCCAACTTCATGAAGGGAGGTGTGAGGGGAAGGAGGTGCTCCAGGCACAGGGAAATCCAAGTGCCATCGATGCTTACCCCAGCTCTTTTCTCCATCTTCTCATTTTCTAATGAGTGCCCACTCTTGACCATCATGCACTTTGAAGTTTAATGTGGAAACATGCAAGCCTAGGTACTTAGGAAATGGAGGGGGCTGTAAACATCATAAACTTGACTAGCAGGTCAGTGTTGGAAATTGTGTGTGTATTCTGACACCTGACAGTAGTCTGCCTTTGAGGGGATCAGTGGCCTTGGTCAGTTCCCTTCTCTAACTCAAGGCATGCTTGCAGGTTTTATGCAAAAATGACATTTTTACTATATCATTTGCAATACTCTACCAAACATACACTATTCTGTTTCTATACAAGGAACCTCAGATACGGAGTTTATAGACTTAGTGTCTAGAATTCATAGTACAGACCTGTCACTGATAATTTTGGTCCTGGTCCCTAAAGTATTTCAGCCCTCACATAAGTGCCTTGTTCTAGAATTGGGTGGAATAATATACATAGTATAAAACCAAAAGCTCTTTGCAAATGTGTAATAATGGTATTGCAAACTTTAGTAACAGGTAATTGATTAGCATTCCTCTTTTGTAGGTCTGCTTTCTAACTTTAATCAATGTCTGTTTGAAACATTTCCTGGCTTATGTTCCTGCAAGACTAGCCTATGGCTGGAGTTATTCCTTTCTGGGAGCGTTGGGACATATCCAGTAGGCATGTCTTAGCCAAATATAGTTGGAAGGGCCCTGTTCTTCCAAATCTGGCTCTGTGAGTTTCCAAGTCCTCATGGTGATGTCTTTGGGTACATAACAGGGTAACAGACAGGAAGACACAGTCTTGTACTGTCTGTGGGATGTTTCTGGCACTGAATAGGAGTGCCTGCCTTGCAAAGCATGAGGCAATTTATTGTTTACACATAGTTTTGCTTCACTGAATCTAGGTTACAGCAGCTCAGCTTCCTTCAGCTCAGAAAACTAAGCCACGAGTCAGAGTATCATGAAAGGTATGGAACACACTGTCATGCGCTGGCACGGCGAGCCCATCTTGAGTTCCCAGGGGCTGGTGCCACCAGGTGCAGACGCCAGGAGCAGTGTACAGTATTTGCTTCTATCAAGGAGAATAAGACCATGTGTGCCTCTTCATTAGCCCCTGTGGGAGAGGAGACTCTCACATTTCTATTCTAGCTGAGTCTTCCCCACCGTTTATTTTTCACGTGCTCAGAGAAAAGCAGCATGAGTTCTTAAGTCCACTGTGAGCTGATATACCGGGCTCCTGTGTGCCATGCTCTGAGTGGGTAGGCTTGTGATTGACCCTTCATATTTAGTAGGCTTGTGATTGACCCTTCATATTTAGTAGGCTTGTGATTGACCCTTCATATTTAGTAGGCTTGTGATTGACCCTTCATATTTAGTAGGCTTGTGATTGACCCTTCATATTTAGTAGGCTTGTGATTGAACCTCCATATTCTATCTGAGAAGGAAATTGTAAAGACTGTGAACCAAGCATCTCTCTGTATGTCTTCCAAAGTTTTTCTTCAGTGTCATCATATAGAAGTTATATCTTCCGCAGTTAAAACACAATAGAAAATAGAATCTATTTTTTGACACTAATGTCTCTGATAGCTTGGATTTTTTTTTAATAAACTAGAGGAGAAAGTAGCATTTTTTTAGAGAAAAATAATTTGAATTTTCCAGAAATTTGATTAACAAAGCATGCTGGATAGGAACAGGAAAACAGGGCATATTTTATAACTAATTTCTTTGCCAAATACTATTCAGTAGAATGTCAATAATTTTCTTAATTTTTATGAAATCGGTTTCACAAATGAAATTTTGAAGGGTTTAGAGAGAGAAAGTGAACTTAACTAAATAATATGTCCTCAAAATATGGCCCCTTGAAGGAGCACATGATCTGTCAAAATCTGATTTATATTTTTCTTTTTTTATCTGGTTATCTTTTTCAAAGACATTTCACACAATATCACAATTTTCATTAATTTCTGCCACGTTTTCCTTGATTATTTCACCAACTCCCAATGTAAAGCAATGTGCCATTCCCGTTGTCCAGCTAAGGATATGAAACTTTTTGTGTCCTGAGATTTTTTTTGTGTGTCCTGAGAAAGGTTGCATGGTTCCTACAGTATAAAACTCACCTCTTCAGAGCCAGCCTCTCTGCCCTGAGACCCATTCTATATTTTTGGTTTGCTGTTAGTACAGAGAAGTTATCACAGGTGGGGGTTTTATCTTATGGGGAGCTACTGGAGAGTACTTTCAGACACATTTCTTTAAGGCAAAACTGCCTGGGAACAGAAGCATGAAACTTGGTGGCCATAAGGCACATCAGACCAATGCTTTTCCAAGACATTCCAAGGTGAATGCCTGTTCCAGTCTTTCTCAGGGTGCAGTTTGCCAGCATAGTAACTCTAACAGCAGCCCGATAGCATGATGCCTTTATTTACCTAGGAAAGTCATTTTAATCGAGCAGGGGTTTAAAGTTACAATTTAGTCAGATTTGATCACAAAATGAATAGTACACATTTATTTTAATTTTAGCATGTTTGGATGCTACTGTTTAATAAATGGCATGGAATGTTTCTGCAGATGATAGAGCCAGTTCTTCAGAGCTGGTGTGCCCGCTGGGATGAAGAGTGCATATCCTTTCTATGCAAGGAATGCACACATATTAATATGCTTTGTAAAGTAAGTCCAAATTTTTCAATCATCTGGGATCTGGCAGTCCAGACATGGGCCAGTAGTTAGCAATGCAAGGTAGGGGATCTGACACCTCCTGATGGCCGTTGTGGGTACTTTTCCCATAGGGTAGCTTGCCAGTATCAGCCTGTGAACCTTTGAGGAAGGAAAAGTTCTCCATGGTAAGGCACAGGATGGAGCCTCTTACTGAATTCCTTCCTGGTTTATATACCAACAGAAAATCATGGCCTGTTACTTAGAAGACTGATAGACTTGGGCATTGAGTTCCCACTTTAACCTGTCAGGAAGTAGAGGTGACACAGGACTGAGTTTCACAGCCATGTCTAGAAGTCAGGCTTATGCTTCCTACAATATCTCCCCACCCCCCAGGAAGTCTTCAAGTCATAGGAAAACTGCAGCTCTTCAAGTCCCAACAAATGGTACCTGGAACATTCATGATGGACGCTTGACACACACTGTTCAAGCCATATTAAGGACTGCACGCTGATTAGATCAGCAGCTCAGCAAACTCTCCGAAAAGGGAAGAAAATGTTTTGGGATGCCCAGTTATAAGGTGTCTGCAGCACAGGATCAACTCTTCCTGGTGTATGGCCATTGTAACTAGGTAAGGCTAGCAAGCCTGTCAGTCGATGAGCAAGGGAAAAATAGGAGTTGGTTTTGGATTCAGACACTTCATGACCTACCTTGTCACGTAAGACCAGAAGAGATCATCAGCAATATTCCTATTTGGTTTCCTGTTGTTTTGGTAAAACACTGACTAAAACCCACTTGGAGAAGAAAGGGTTTATCGCATCTTACAGCTTGTAGTCCATCATCGTGGGAGAAGCTATGGAGGAATGTTGCTTACTGACTTGCTCCCCCTGACTTGTCGATCTACTTTTCTTATATAGCCCAGGCCCATCTGCCTAGGGATGGCACAGCCCACAGTGAGCTGGACCCTTGTACATCAACCAGCAATCGAGAAAATGCCCCATAGACATACCCATGGGCCAGTCTGATGGAGAATTCCTTAATTGAGGTTCTTTCTTTCTGGATGACTCTAGTTTATGTCAAGTTGAGAAAAAGTAACCAGATAAGCTCTTATATGCCTTGTCCCATGGGAAGATGACAAAGCCTAATGGGTCAGGTCCCAGTGCAACAGGAGAGACATGGTACCTGCTCCAGAGGGGATGCCATGGAGATGGGCAGTTTGGGAACTGCAGCTTTGTCTTAACTGAGGCAGGGAAGAAAGCCTGTACCTCTTCAGGATCTCAGAGAGGTGAGCAGAAGCACAAAAGAAACGCCAAGATGTCCTCCCTGGAACTCACAAGGTTGGAGGCAGTAGGGGAACAACTTCAAAGCAGCACCCTGTAACCCACCCATGCCCCAAGATCTGAATAGATTGTAGCACTCTAGGCCATTTGCTGCTAAACCTTACCCTGTGGCCTCCATACCCATGTATGGTCTCCAGGGTGCTAGACTGGAAAATACCTTTGCATTCTGTTTCAGTAAAGCTTAGCAGGCTAGTTGCGGCCCATGGGCTTCTGTTCATTGATGTCTGAGTTAGAGCATTATGACTTTGACTAAAAGTATTTCAGTTACATATG